GAATAAGGTTTTATTTGATTCCTAATGATGTTTGTTTCGCAGGTTGAGTGAAGAGGATAATCAAAGAAGACGACCAGAGCTAGGGCTCCGACACTTCTTCAGTCAGCATATTTGCTTTCATATTATATAGTTTTCATTTCAATATACTAACGGATGAAATAGCCGTCCCAGCGGTAGAAATGTGTGCGTTAAAGCTTGAGCCTCAAAGTGCCTGGGTTCGATCCAACCCTTTTGACATTTTGTTTCATTAATTTTTCATATTTTGCAGGTTGATCATAAGGCGTGTTGGATGCGTACCTTGGACACAAGCACGCGCTTGGCCTGGTGGTAGGCAGGTTGTGTGAACACCATGAGATTGGTGCTCCTCCGAGAATAAATATGTAACCAATTGTAGACTTTTGATCATCTTTATCTCTGCACCAATTGGAATCGGTGAAATCGAGCAAATTGCATTTTCTTCTTGTATCCACTGCGGGAAAGAGAATTTTGCAGCCAATATACCCTTTAACGTATATTAGGATTCTTTTGATTGCTCCCAAGGGAGACACCTTCGGTCTCTCCATGAATCTACTTGCAATACCGACACTAAACGCTAAATTTGGATGCGTATTGCACAAGTAACGTAACGACCCAATCAATCTCCTATTGAGTAGGATTCACATTATGCTCATCCTCACTTTTGGACAGCTGCAACCTTACTTCATATGGTGTTATGGCACCATTACAATGCTCCATATCACACATTTTCAAGATTTCAAGAGCATATCTCCTTTGATGCATGAGCCATCCCATTTTTGACTTATGGAAATCTATTCCAAGAAAGTATGTCATAATCCCAAGGTCACTCATCTCAAATTCTTTCATAATTTCACTCTTAAACTTAAAAATACTCTTCTAATTGCTTCCCGTGATCAATAAATCATCCACATATAGAGAAAGTATAATCACATATTCAATTGCATTCGACTTCACATAAACTCCATGCTCGGACACATATTTCTTAAAGCCAACTTCAATTAGGAAACCATATATTCGCTTGTTTCAAGCTCTCAGAGCTTGCTTCAAACCAAATAACGCTTTTATCAACTTGTAGAACCTATCTTTTTTATTCTTCACAATAAAACCAAGGGTTGTTCTACATATAACTCTTCTTCAAGTGGACCGTTCAAAAAATGCAGATTTTACATCCCTTTGATAGATCGACCAATTGTTGTTATTCGTAATACCAATAATCAGCCGTATGGTTTCAAGTCTAGCAGCTAGTTCAAACACTTCATTGAAGCCTATAACTTCTCTTTACAAAAATCTCTTTGCTGCTAATAGAACCTTATGCTTGATTATCTCACCTTTGGGATTTGCCTTCACTTTATAGACCCATCTTACACCAATTAGCTTCTTACCTTTAGGTAAATAGAACAACTCACAAGTACTGCTTTTCTCAATCGATTCTAGCTCCTCTTTCATTGCACACACCCACTTTGGATCAATTAATGCCTATTCCGTGTTAACGGGCTCGGATTCGGCCATAAGCGCAAAGTGAACAAAATCACTGTTGTTATTGATCTCGTTATCCCAGAATACTTCTTAATATTGGAGTCTTTGAGGCAAACCTCTTTGCCTAGTTGGTCGTCTACTGTTTTCCACGATTCCGGCTTTGAAAGGTTACTGTTCTGTACCTCCTACAATTTGAGAATTGGAAATTTCATGTCCGTAACTAGTTACAGGATTCTGGTAACCGATTACGCCTTCTAAAAAACTAGTTCCAGCAGTTTGGGAATCCAAAAATTCGCGCTCGTAATCGATTACAGCATTCTGGTAACCAGTTACAACACCTGTCAAAATAGTTTTCTACTGTCAAAATGTTTCAGTTCGTCAACCACAACATCTCGATTGATCACAATCTTCTTGTTTTAAAAATTAAATAACTTATAACCTTTAGTAGGATGATAACCAACGAGGAACATCATCTCACTGTTATCACCCAACTTCTTTCAAAGCTGACCCGCAACGTGTCAAAATGCTACTGAGCCGAAAACCTTCAAATGACTCAAGCTTGGTTTAAATCCAGACCATACCACTTTTGTAGTTACTTTATCAAGCTTTTTTATAGGGCACTTATTCAATAAATAGGCAGTTGTAGAAACGACTTTACCCCATATCTCATTCGATAAGTCTTTTCCCTTTAACATGCTTCTAACCATGTTCATGATCGATCGATTTTTCCTCTCGACAACACCATTCTGCTATGGTGTATAGGGTGGCACAACCTCATGCATTATCCACTCTTCATCACAATATTTCCCAAAATCATTTGAGGCATACTCACCTCCACCATCCATTTTGAGAATTTTGAGTTTGTGACCGCTTTGCCGCTCAACCATGGACTTAAACTTCTTAAACACATAAAATACCTCATCCTTTCTCTTGATTAGGTATGTCCATAATTTTCTACTAAAATCATCGATAAAAGTGAAAAAATACCTATTGCCATTATCAAATCAACTTGCAATGGCCCACTCACATCAGAGTACACCACCTCAAGGTGATGCTTGGTCATATGACATGTATTTCTGAACTTATTTATATGTTCCTTCCCTTGCATACACTCTTCACAAATCTCAATTGGAATTTTGATCGACGGCAGCCCGGTTACCATACCATTCCTTTATAACATGTCAAGGTCTCAAAAATTGAGATGCCCAAGACGATAGAGTCACAACCACTCATCTCGACTTTCCAATGTAGCAAAAAACCTATGTTTCATCACTTTCAACTCTATTTTGAAATTTCTATTGGCATCTATAGGCGTTTTAAGGACCAAAACCCTGTTTGTATCCCAAACGCGCAAAATCTGTTTTCCATGCAAATTATGTAATTCTTCTCAAGTAATTGGTCAATGCTTAAGATATTACATTTAATTTTTGGAATTTATAACACATTTTTGATCAAGTAATGACCACCATCCCTTCTCATGATCAAAACATCACCGATCTCGTCGGCCGCTAAAGTGGTGTCATCTACGAATTTCACTTTATTCTTCATGGCTTGATTGATTTTGACAAACCAATCCTTCCTGTTTGTCATATGCAATGAACAATCGAAGTCCAAGTACCACTACTCACTGCATTGAACTCCATCTCTCAGAGTCATCATAATGTTTTCTTTCAAACGCGTTTCTGCAGCATTCTCGAAACTGCTACAAATGTTTTCTAACAAATTTCTGCTACTGCAGTTCCTGTCCAGCAGCTTGCTACTACTGCAATCACCTTCAATGATCATCACTAATATCTTGTTCTCATCATCCACCTCTTGTCTTACAACCTTGGTTTCATCTCCTTGAGATTCCTTCTTGTTCACATTGCAATCTCTTGCAAAATGACCGAATTTTTGACAATTAAAGCATTGCACCTTACTTTTGTCAACCTTTCCTCTTTCACCTCTTAAGTTGCTTTGACCACCATGTTTGGTGCAGCTACTCTCACCCTTTTGATAAGTCGATTTTTTTCGAATTTTATGATTCTCTTCCACTAAAATTTTGAAAATTCCATTTGTTTTTCGCGGGCCATTTTCCTTTCGACTTCTTGTTCTTATCATTGAACCATACTTGCAAAGCGATCTCCGCCTTTGCTTATTCGTTACTCCTCCCATCCGTCCCTTGTTCATGAGCTTCAAGATAGCTTTGAAGCTCATCTTTTCTCAACGTCGCAAGATCATTTGACTCTTCAATCGCCACTACGATGTTGTCCAATCTTGGTGTCAAAGAACGCAAGATTTTCGATACAAAATTTTACTCTGAAACAGTTTCTCCACAAGACTTGATTTGATTCACCAAACGCGTAATGCGCGTTATGTAGTCATTGATTGTCTCCTTCTCCTCCATTTGAACCAATTTGAACCGTCGCTTGTGAGTTTGTAACTTCACCACCTTTGCTTTATCACCACCTTCATAATCCTTCTTCAAGATCTCCCATACTTGCTTTGCCGAATCGCAATCACTAACTTTCTCAAAGTTGTCATTATCGACGCAAGAATGGATCAAGAACATCACCTTGTAGTCTTTGTTCTTCTCTTCCTTGTGTGCATCCTTTTGTGCCTTTTTGCCTCTGCAACACGAGGAGTAACTCCATTGTTAATCACTTCAAGAACATCTTGGTAGCCAAACAATACCTTCATTTGCTTGCACTATTTATCGTATTCTTCGATAAAAGGGTTGGTAGATTAGTGAGGACTCGATCGTTGGAGACGGTAGTCATCTTTGCACAGCAGATTATGGATGCCATATGTTAGAACATTCAATGGATCATTGAAGGTTTTGTGCTTGTGGAGAAGATAAAGTGGGAAAATAAGAGAACTAGAGTGAGAGAAAGTAACTGAGGATATGAAGTGAAAATTTCGTTATTTTTCACATTACAACATTGAGACTATTTATACAAGCTAAACAAAACAATTGGGATCCAAAACAACTTAAAAATAAATATATAAAAAATCCAAAACACGGGTTTGTAACCGATTATGTCTGCGACAAAAACTAAAAACAGAACTGAAATAACCCGCTGTAACTTCAATTAACTTCCATAAACTTATAACTTACATTTGAATTATTATAAACTTTCAATACCAAAATCGAAAAGAAAAAAAAAAATCAAAGTTGCAATTAAATCTATTTTTATTCATATTTTGCTTCATTGCTTCAAAGTAATTTAACTTGTTGAAAGTCAAAATAACATGCTGCCATGTTCATATATTCTATTTTACACCTAAAATTCAATTGTTTAATGCAACTATGATTTAAATTTTTCATTAGCATAAAAGTAAACTTTTAGTGGAAAGATAACGTATCTATTGAAAACATAATTAAAATTTCGCCAGCAACAATAGAATAATAACATTGTTTATTCATATCATATTCATACCTTACACATTCTTTTTGTTGAAAAATTCAAAGTGTAGCTTTTCTAAAAATCGTCATGAGTCACTGTGATTCTGAATCAAAACATCATTTAAAATTGAGAGAAGAAATTGAAGGCAATAGCAATGAGGAGAAGAGTAAAAGTAGCAGCCATAGGTGTTGTTGAGGCTGTGCTCTGTGGTGGACTAGCAGTAGCCGTAGAACCTGGTCCAAAACTTAGGGATGGTGGAGCTTCAGCCGGTGGAACATCAGAAGAAGCAGTGTCTGTGACTTTAATACTTAGCTTTTGGCCACTGCTGCAATGACCTGATAAACTACAGGTAAAGTAGAAATCACCGGTTCGATCCAAGGTTATTTTGGTTGGTCCTTTGTTAAAGGTTTGAATATCATCATTTACATTACACTTTTCATAGTTTGGTTTGTTTAGTATAACAACACTGTGGCTTCCAGATTCATAGTTGAAAACTGAAAAAAGCACCAATATCAAAAATAGTTTTTGGCTTCAAGTGTTTAATATAGAAATAAATAAATGAATTTGTGATTAATTAAATTACCTAGATTGTCGTTAAGTTTGAATGTAAAATTTGCAGCCCATTTGGAATAGAAAGATGAACCACGAGGTGGAAAACTAGTCCAACCTATGGTATCTCCTCCTACTGTGTAATCTTCAGCTTCTGAGGTTTGTAGTGACACTGCAACCACAGTGATTACAATGAGAGTTGTCATGTTTTTTATTTGAAACATGTTTTTATTGGTGTGTTATGTGGCTTCTGTTTTATTGCTCCTTGATTCTGTGACCCTATGTGTATTAGAAGAGAAAGAGTAAGTAGAAATGCATTAATTATTCACCATTTGTGTTGATTGTTACATATATATATATATATATAAAGTAATATAGGCTTATTCAAAATAAGTATTTTTAACATAAATTAAATTAAATTACAGTAATTAATATACATCGAACACCAAACATATTTTTAATTTAAAATAATATGTTAGACACTAATATGTGTCGGACATCGTACATATATTTATTCAAATATATTTATCTAATATAAATAATTTTTGATATATTTCAATCATCACACGTATTTCTTCGGATGTATTAATCTAATATAATCAATTTTAAAAGTTGGAAAATGTGTTATAATTTCTGAGCACCACTTGATGATAATTGACTTATACTATTTTTACATCCATCTCAGCCTGCAGAAAATGTCAACGGATGGAAATGGTCTAATAACATAAAAAGTGCCTCTAAAATATATAAACTAGTGTTTATACATCCCAATTTTTATATTTTATCATTTCCCCTACTACTAGAAATAGTTTAGAATTAGAAGAAGAAATTTTATAATTCTTATTATGATATAAATTTAATGTGATTTATAGGACAGTTGAGTTATGTGCATTGTTGTTTTTAGTATATACCCTAAATATTTTGTATCTAAGTTCTATAAGCTCAAAGTCAAAATAGCTTATTGTTCAACATGTTACACATCATACATACATGATGACAACAACATATATAAAATGAGTGATACTATCATGTTATATTTATCAATTAAAATACATAAGTAATAGATGATTTTATTTCGGAAATGAATATTTAGCCATAGATTATAGTTGCGTCGATTTAACTAAGACACCATATGAAATAAAAAGGAATATCAATTCGTATCTATTTAATTTGATCATAAAAGATCACATCCTATTAATTTATTCATTTGTTTGTTAGTGTTTTCTTTGAAAACACATACTTTAGAAGAGAAACAATTTCAAAGTTGTTTTAAAGAGAACTCCATTATATAAGTTTGGTTAGAAGTACCTATCGTTCAATTATTTGATGTTATTATTTTTTTCTTATAATTTATTTTTAAATAACTTTTCTCTACATATTAGTGACATCCAATCCAACTTAAAGATATGGAAGATTTTTTTATTAGACTGTTTTGAAAATCTCCCACAAATAAATTGTTAAATAGAAAAAAGTGTTAGAAAATTCACTAAAATCTCATTATGAATTTCTATCAATTTTGATAAATAAAATTGTTATCGATGAACAATGACAATGAAAAAAATATGAACGAACGAAAGAAAGAAATAGGATAATGATTTTTCTGCAGAGTTTCTCTCTGCCCACAAACTGAAAACTTCGTATTCACTTGCAATTGTAAATTCTGTGAATACAACTTAATTGACTTGATTATAAAAATAGGAGTTACTCTCTCTATTTATAATTTTAGGTTAGCTTGCTCCCTAAGCCAAAGCGCAAAACTATAAAAAGTACAAAATATATATTTTAGAACTAAATCAAATCTATCTATTTTATATCTAAATCAAATCTACTTAAATTTAAAATAAATTTGTGTGTAACAAACTATTTTCACACTTCTAAATCAAATCAAATCTTTTTGGCATTTTCTTGTCTCTGTCGAGCAAACTGCTTCGACACAGTGAATTACTTTCAACACACAACCTAATTCATTGTGTCTAAGTTATCTACATTCATAATAGCTCTTAGTCTTCGAAATACTTCGACCTGCAAACCCTTCGTCATGATGTCTGCAGTCTGATTCTCAGTTCTGCAGTGTTCCAAGTTCATCTTCCCTTCTACTATCTGCTCTCGAAGATAGTGGAACCTCATATCGATGTGCTTGCTTCGACCGTGAGCTATCGGGTTCTTCGCCAGATTGATAGCTGACATGCTGTCGATCTTCATGGTAATTGCTACATGATCTTTCAATGTTATCTCTTCGACCAAGTTCAACATGCAAGTTGCTTGACATGCACAAAGAGAAGCAACTATATATTTCACTTCACATGATGATAATGCCACTACTGGTTCTTTTCTTGAACTCCAAGCAACTGGTACACCGCCTAGCATAAACACATATCGTGTTGTAGATTTCTAATCCTCGGTATCACTACACCAACTTGAATCAGTGTATCCCACTAACTTGCATTCTTTTACTTTATCAGTTGCAGAAAGAAAAATGTCATAGTCGAGAGTTCCTTTCAGATACCCCAATATCCTCTTAGGTGCTGCTAGGTGTGATACCTTTGACTTCTGCATAAATCTATTTATCATACCTACACTGTATGTTAAGTCAGGCCTCGTGTGACAAAGATATCTTAATGAACCAATAAGTATTTTGAACATCATCTTTTTCTGAATCTTTCGACAGTTGTAGTCTTGATTCTGCAGGTGTCGAAGTCGAGTTGCATTCTTTCATCTCAAATCTCTTGAGAATTTCTCCTGCATATCTTTTTTATGCATCATCAAACCTCTACTGCTCTTGTAGAATTCGATGCCAAGGAAATATGAAATGTCACCTAGATCAGCCATTTCAAATTCCTTACTGAGATCACCTTTGAAGTCTTCGATCTCCTTCTTGCAGCTACCTGTTATTGATAAGTCATCAACATAGAGACATAATATAAGCAATTTACTATTGTTTCTTCTTACATATACTCCATGTTCAGTTGTGTACTTCACAAAATCCTTCTTTCTTAGAAAAATATCAATCTTCTTATACCAAGATCTTGGAGCTTGTTTCAAACCATACAGGGGCTTTATGTGGCATAGGTGCAAAAACTTCACCAAAGTCTATTCCTTTTTTTCTGTAGAAATCCTTTCGCCATAATCTTTGTTTTGTGTAGAGTTACTTTCCCTTTGAGATTCATCTTCACTTTGTATACCCACTTGACATCAATTGCCTTCTTGCCTTGAGGTAATTTGACAAGTGACCAAGTATTGTTGTCTGCGATGGACTTCACTTATTCTTTCATTGCTTTCACCCACTTATAATCCTTCAATGCTTCAGTTGTATTGACTGGTTCGACATCTTCATAGAAGGCATAATATACCAGCTCACCTTTGTTATCAACCACATCATCTGATTAATTGAAACAATCGGATGAATAAATCATCGAGATAAAATCAATGAATTCGTCGTCAAACGTTTTTTATCCCATAGGAAGGGAAGGGTGAACATCGAGAAAACCTGAGAAGGGAGAAGTTACGGTCTTGCAACCGAGAGATTAGGTAAGGGAGCCTGTTACACGAGGAGAAGGTATTAGCACCCCACACACCCGTAGTACTCTACGGTATCCATTCTTGTTGTTCTAATCAAAGAGTATGTTCAAATATAATGCTTAAGAGCTAAAAGAAAATGCAAGGAGGGAATGCATGCAAAAGAAAAGCGAAAATAATATAGGGAAAATAAAGTTGTGCTTGCTTGGGCCCTACCCTAATGCGTATCCTTTTTGAGGAATCATGTTTTGATTTGTTTTGTCTTTTCTAATGAACAATATTAATTTCACCTTCTGCCGCAAATCGACCTTTGGAGATTTACGCGTCAACACAGAAGTGAATTAACACGTTCTTTTGAAAATTTAGAAAGAAAAGGGCCCGAAGGAGCAAAAGAGTTTGCATTGGTTGATATTTTTTACCTTGAAAAAAGATTTGAAAATTGTTAGATGTTTTATGCATTTGACAAGAAAATGGTTTTAATTTTAATGCAAGGATGCAAAAGAAAGAAACATCTAATGAAGATTATCTAAATCTATCCCTAATGTTATCATACAATGATGACCCTATGGTTGAGTTTTGAAAGGAAAATATCTACCTATGTGGGCATACATGGATAACTATCTAATGTCTAACTCGAGGACTAATCCTACCCAAGCAATCCTAAGGGAGCATGGCAAATATCTCATAAAAGATACGTAAGAGCAGTCATACTGTCATAAGAGAAAGTACGAGAATGGATGATGAAACATCCAAAGGGAGATGGCAAATCATCACAGATCCTGTGACAAGAATCAAATAAACAGATGGTAAAATATCTGAACAAACAAAAGCTCGAGCATCACTCGAATATCAGACACCTACAAGGCACATGCCAAGTAGTAAAAGAATAGGTCCCGCCACAGACAAGCAATCAAGCATCAGACCAAGGATCAAGCCATGGCCAATGGGAGTGAATCACCCAAGTCAACTAAGCTATAAAACTATGGGAATAAATAGGTTCTTAACCGCGGTATTAATTACCAGGACAAGAAAGATCAGGGGAAAATGACAAGGTGTATGCATACACCGAGTGTGATACGGTGGGAGAACTGACTTGAGGTTTTGCGTTTGTATTCGCAAATGTTGCGGTTAGCAAGAGTCGCCACCGACTTTTTATTTTATCCTAAGGAAAGGTTAAAAAAGCACAGCAAAAACCTTTTGAGATGTTTCTTGGGTTCGGGGAGTAGATTATAGAAAGGGAAGGTATTAGCACCCTTTCTATCCATGGTTATCCATGGGCTCTTAGTTACTTGCTTAGATCACTTGCCTTTTGTTTTCAATTGTTCTAAATGGTGCTTGAGTATGTGGGTTTTGAAAATATTTTGAAAAGATGCCAATGTGGTGGCAACCTTTGTAATGATCCATGTGGGGATGTATACAAAGATGTATGTCTTTTGAAAAAGTTTTCATTTGTTTTGAAAGTTGTTTTGAAAGTGTAGTGATGTGTGATTTTGAAATTAGGCAAGTGTTTTGTTTTGCAAGTTAGTTCAAGTAACTAAGAGTTGTCTACCCTTAAATTTAACTCAAAGGTTTTTTCTATGTTTTAACCCTTTTAACAAGTTTGCTCCACCATTGTATTTGGTGGGCAACCTTGTGTTAGGATGTGAAAGGGACAGGCGCGGGTCATCGTTTTAGATCATAATTGCAACGGCGTTAAATGTCTTTGAGC